TTCAACTCCCATCTCCGGCAGAACTTTGAACACGTTCTGGGGGAGGYGGGGGACATTGAGTCTGAATGGACCATCATCAAAGAAAATCATTTAATAAAATTTGCATATTTTTTAAACATTTACACATTTGTAGGAACAAAACATCTGCAATAAGTTGTTAGTTAAAAAACATTGTTTTCACCTCAAATAAACAAGAGCACAACAGTATTTATTACACTAATCCTTTTTATTTTTTATTTATATTTATTTATAACTATTACCAGGAAGTCCCATTGAAATTAAAAACCTATTTTTTAAGAGAGACCTGGCCAAGATTCATTTCATATCATTTTGTATAAACAAAGGAAAAAATTTCGTCATTTTTTGTGTAATTAATTCAAAACGTATTTTCAGGACCCCACTGTGGGTCGTCCCAACCCCAACTTCAGAAACATCTGAACCCTGTGGCCCAGACTGAGCTTTTATCCTTTTTAAAGTGTTCATTACTTTTATACTTTAGTTTTAAAACCTGTACTTTTATACTTTTACTTACTTGAGTAAAAAGCTTGAGTTGATATTTCTACTTCCAAAAAAGTATTTTTAAACCCTAGTATCTATATTTCTACTTAAGTAATGAATATGAATACTTTCGACACCTGTTTATGTGAAAAGGCTTAAAAAGTGCAGATTATGCTTTAATAAATCCTGAGATTATAACCATTAAAGTAAAGACAACTTGTGCAAATCTTTTGTTTTTATTCCAAAAATATAGAAATAATCAAGTGTTTAAGGCAACAAACTGGTTGATTTCAAACAATCATCTGACAGAGGTGAAGCAGGAAGAGCTGATTTTCATGAAGCAGAGTTAAGACAGATCATGTGACCACTCCCAACAAAAACACACATTTCTTCTGTGTGTGATTACACAACGAGCACAACATCTAAATAATTTAAAGAAAGAAAAAGGCAGATTAGAATGCACTGACATTATGTGCACAACGAGCAGGATATAAAAATAATCTCTGAATTACAGCAGATTGATGCTTCAGGATTGGGTTCTGGCTGATTGGACCCGGTCAGAACTGGACTAAAAAGACCTGAGTAGTGGTGGGTTTCATCTTTGGAATGAGGTTTGAAGATAAGGCTGCTGCGGGGCCTCAGCTCCAGGTGGAATCGTACTGGGTCCAGCCGGGAGGCGGGGCCAGGTAGATCCTCCGCCCCCTGGAGAAGAAACTGACGACCCCTCTGTATCCGGTCCTGGGCACGCCGGACTTCAGGTCGTCCATGATTCCCAGGTTTCGGGCCAGCACTTTGAAGCTGTCCTTGGTGGAATACTGCAGGCGGAAGGGTCCACTTCCTGTCAGCTGACCCTGCTTCACAGCTTCGTACGTGACCACCGGAGCTGCGTAGACCTCCTTCTGGAAGTTCTCCCTGTAGTCCTGCTCCTTCAGGTAGCCCAGGTCCAGTTTGGTGAAAGGCACGAACTCGGTGTTCAGCTTGATGTAGCGCAGGTACTTGTCGTAGAACTGGCCCAGGCTCACGCCCTGCCGGCCGAACGTCAGCGTGCGGGACACCTCGGGCCGGACGCAGGCCCGGCCCCGCCGCTGCTCCGGCTGCCGCATCCAGTCGTCCCAGAAGGAGGCGGGCCACTTGGGCTCCAGCTCCTCCCACAGCTCCCTGAGGAGCATCCAGCCCAGGCCCGGGAAGAAGTCCGTCCGGTAGAGCAGGTCCGCCCTGCCGGGGTCCACGAACCCATCCCGCCCGTTGTCGTTCCAGGCCGAGACGCACCACAGGCTGGGGTCGGACTGCAGGAGGGGCTGCAGGGCTCGGAAATACTCAAAGAAGTCTGGCGCCACCTGCAGGACAGAAATATGTGAGCCATCATTTCGAAATGAGGATTAGGTCAAATTTGGTCAAAATGACCTAATTATATTTCAGATTCTTGTCTTTAAAAGCTACATTTTGACACCTGGATCATTCTGATATCATAATTATATCCATATATATGACTTAATTTGTCTTGTTGGTTACAATAATACATAAATATTTGGT